TATGGAAAAGAAATAGCCCTCAGATAAGCAAAGCACTGCTGAAGAAGAAAAACGAAGTAGGCAGTCTCACACTCCCAGATCTCAAAACCTACTATACAGCCACAGTGGTCAAAACAGCGTAGAACTGATACAATGACAGACAAATAGACCAATGGAATAGAATAAAATGAACAGCAATAGACCCACCCATCTATGGACAGCTGACGTTTGACAAAGGGCCAAAACCCATTAAATAAGGGAAAGATAACCTCTTTAACAAATGGTGCAGGCAAAATTGGATATCCACTTACAGAAAAATGAAACCAGACCCATACCTCACCCTATACATAAAAATGAACTCATGTTGGATCAAACACTTAAATGTAAAACCCAAAACTGTAAAGCTCATCAAAGATAAAAGAGGGGGCAAATCTAGGGGCCTTAATTTATGTCATAAATAGACTATCAAGTATAACCCAAAATACACAAGCAGCGGAAAAGAAACTAAATGACTGGGACCTTTTAAAAATTAAATTCTTATGTGCATAGAAAGGGTAAACAGAGAACCTACAGATCGGGAAAAAAAATATTTGGCTATGACATATCAGAGAAGGAACTTATATTCAAAATTTTTAGAAAACTTCAACACCTCAACACCAAAAAGACAAACAATCCAATTCAAAAATGGACAAAGGACATGAACACACACATCACTAAAGAAGATACACAGGCAGCCAACAATGAAGAAATGCTCATGATCATTAGCTATTGTTGTTGTTGTTATGTGCCATCGAGTCAGCCCTGACTCACAGCGATCCCTCCTTGGGTTTCCGAGGCAGTATCACTACGGAAGTAGGATTGCCCAACCTTCCTTCCGAGGAGTGGCTGGTGGGTTTGAACCGCCAGCCTTCTGGTTAGCAGTCAAGTGCCTTAGCCACTATGCTACCAGAGCTCCTATTAGCTATTAGAGAGATGAAAATCAAAACAACAATGAGATATCATCTTACCCCAGCAATAATAGCAAAGTTCAACAAGACAGAAAATAAATGCTGGCAAGGGTGCAAAGAAATTGGAACTCTCATACACTGCTGGTGGGACTGCAAAATGGTACAGTCACCACAAAAAAACATTAGGTGTTTCCTGAAAAAATTGAAAATAGAAATACCATTTGCTGCAGCAATTTCATTACTAGGAATGTACCCTAAAAAGGTGATTGACAGGACACAAATGACATATGCACAACCATGTTCACTGCAGCACAATTATAGCAAAGAGATGGAGACCACCTAAGTGCCCATCAACAGATGAATGGATAATCAAACTATAATACACGCACACAATAGGATACTATGCAACATTAAAGAATAGTGAAGAATACATGAATCATTCCACAACATGTATGAATTTAGAGGACATTATGCTGAGTGAAATAAGTCAATCACAGAAGGACAAATATTGTATGAGTCCATTAATGTAAAAAGTTAAGGAAAGGTTTTTGCAGGGAAGGAAATTCAATTGTTGGTTACTGGGGATGAGAGGGAAAATTTTGGACTAATTGAGGATCATATGTTGATTTGGGTGAGGGGAGGGGTGATAATGGAAAGACTCTGTGACCAGCATGGGGACAATGGGGAAAGGAAGGACACAGAAAGGTGCACAAAAGATATAGACAACAGAGGCAAATTCTATTACATGAACAATACTGTATAACCAGTGGCTCCAAACATGGGCTATGGGTAAATGCATAGACAGGTGAGAAGATCAGGTAGGGAAGGCGAACAGGAATATACCCAAGACCAAGGATAGG